CCCCCCGTGACTTGCGCGCAAGCGGGCGAAATCGTTTTATTATTTTTGTCAATCTGAAACCGACCGAACCCCAAAATGTTGAATACGCGCTGCCCGCGGCTGCGGGGGCAAACAAAACTGTGTCATGAAGTTGTTTGATTGTACGCCATTGTCTCTGTGTGTGTATTTGTGTGTGGTTGGATCGTGCTGACCAGATCGTTGTTTTCCTTGTTGCAGGTGTGGTTCAAGAACCGTCGCGCCAAGTGGCGCAAGCAGCGGCGCGAGGAGCAGGAGCGGATACGCAAGATGGCGGAGGACGCGTCGAGCGGCCTGTCGGGGGCGGCGGCGGCGGCGCCGCCCGGCGCGGGGGCGGGCTCGACGGTGTCCTCGCAGGGCGGCGTGCCGGGAGGGCCGCGGGCCGACACCCCGCACGGCGACCACCTGCAGCACGACCTCCACGGCCTGCACTCGGGGCTGTGCGACGAGGACGACCTCTCCGACCTGGAGGTCACCTAGAGTCCCCCGGGGCCTCGCACGTGTGGTCGTCGACGAGCTGATCGTCGGCGGCCCACCGGGACTCTCCTCCACATCCCTCATCGGCGGCGTCATTCGCGCGGCCGGCTCCGCTCGTCCCCACCCACTCCTCCTCGGATGGCTGTTACAACGGTCCCCTCGCCGTGTCGTCGGCGGCGTCGATTGCCTCTAGTCATGTCCCAGGGCGTAACGCGTCGCGTCCGCCTCTTGTCGTGTTTCACGTCGTGTTTTCCGTCGTGTTGGACGAGCACTCTGATTGGCTCGTGGATAAATACCCGCGGTGGGCGATAAGCCCCGGGGCCGGGGCACTCGGGCGGCGTGAAAGTGTGCATACAGACACACTCACACGGACCCGACCGAGTGGTGTCGCCGGAAGCATCACGAACGTGCTCAAGTAGTGGTCAGGCAGGCAGTGACCACTAAGTGCCTCCGCGCGCACCTTATAGCTACTGCTGCTGGGTGCTTCCAGAGCATCCACGATGACAGTATAGTTTTTTTTCGTCCACATTCCTCACATAGGTATTTTTTTTTTTAAAAGACATTTAAAATGTTTTGCAATAATCGGGTTGATCTCAGAGAAGATCGCGAGGAAAATAAATCCCCCGCTTTGAGAGCGGCCTACAGGCATGGCCCACCCACACTCGGCCGGCGCTCTTTTCTCTGGCATCCACTCCCCCAGCCATTGTACGCGTCCATGCCATTGCTGTTTCGTAAAAAAAGAGGAGGGAGCTGTACAAATGGTTTACTTATTTGGCTTGGGTGCTGCGCAATGGCATCCCAACTTAGTCCTGCGACACAGCCTTTTGGACGACAAAAGTAAAATGTTCCTGCGTGGTGTTCTATGAGCTGTACATAATCAGATGAGAAAAAAATCTATGATATATTTATACTTAATGTTAGAGCTAAAATCTATGTTCCGCACAAGAGAGAGTTATTGCATTCTTATGTTATATTGTTTTCTTACCTCGAACCGTGACTCAATGTGATAAGTAGTTTATTATTTAAATGTATACGTAATTATTTATAGTACTATTAATTCGGATGGGGGGGACAGAGGAAGCCGATGCCGTCGTCCTGGGACGGACGGTGAGGTGGCGAAGTCGATTAAAGCAAAAGCACCGAAGCCCCGCGCCCGCGCCATCTGTCTTACCCGTATAGACTGCGTTACGAACACTGGTTGGTTTGCCACGGTTGTCACAATAACTCTGGAAAACCTGGAAAATTCACAGGGGAAATACTGTCGCGCTCAGGGAAATCAGGGAAAATGAAAACTAACTCAGGGGAATTAGTTGCAACTTTGTTCGGGCCCCGCGCAAATTCGCCATATGTATACAGTACTGTAGGTCAAATATACATTTTAAAGGGTCTAGAAATGAGTGAAAGTTTAGGGAAACTTAAAAGGAAAAGCGCACATTGGTGCCTGCATGGAGCTGGAGGGAGTATGTAGGCAACCCGCCCGCGCTCTTGCGCTGCGGTACGGTCTAACTGCGGTGGTACGGGCGCAATCCGGAACAGAATAGAGCGACGACAAGGCCCGTGCGTTTAGATCCCGTTGCTTGGTATAGGTAGGTTTTCTATGTCAGTGCCAGTGTACCAGATAAACACGAGATAAGAGTTTGTGGCAAAAACGACTGCTTGCGTGATCACATCGTTGGTCGTTGGAAAATGTGACACAGCGCCATTTTGAATAACTGTCCCGCCCTTAATTTTATCGGGACGTGCGTCGCCTCGCCCTTCGCAAAGCTCTATGACACGTTCGAGGGCAGGATGCAAGGCAATGTCTCCCTCGACTAGGCAAACTATGACTTTATCGGATTCGAGAATATTCGGATTCGAAAATATTTTAGCAGAGTAGTATGCCGTTTTTATCGACATAGGGCCACTGATGATTTCATGCATTCAACCAGTCGCTTGAAAACATTGGACTTCCCCCCTCTCTATGTGTGATCCGTTTCCAGCGAGCGAGTCGCCCCGCCCCGCCCCGCCCCGCCCCGCCCCGCCGGGCGAACCACACACACGGGGGAACCGTGCGGCCAGGCCATTCGATGTATCGAAATAATAATGAATAATCGAATAACGTGCGACAAAACGGGGGTCCGACAAACAGAATCGGACAGAACAACAAAACTCGCCTGCGGACACAACGGGCGACATTAATGGAATGCACGCTGTTAACGCTTTGAGGCCGGCCGCTTGGGCCCCACCCCGCCCCGCCCCCTCGTCCCACGGCACGGCACTGCTGCTGCTGCTGGTCGCGACAAAATAATAATGATAAAATAACAATTGGCAATATGCATGAGGGCCGCGGGTCGCGCGGACACCTGCAAACAGCGCGCGGGCGCGGCCCCCCGCGGGCCCCGCTAGAGAGAGTTTCCGCCGAATTGCAATTAAAATAGGAAAAGGGCCCTCCCGGTGAATGGCGCCGCGCTGCTGTCATGGCCCGGGCTTTACTCGCGGCGGTGACCTCGCCCGTCGTCGTCCCCCCCCCCCCCCCCC